AAAAATAATGATGATTATACTTCTAGGTGGTATATCTTTATCTTATCTCGTTGTGTCAAGTTCAGTATTGTTGGATAAATTGAAAGAAGAAGATGATCACGATGAATCGTAGACTAAAGTAGAATAATACCTATTGTTTTCTAATTACACTTCTCGATGATAAAACGATTTATTAAATCAAGATAATATTATAAATAGATGATGTCAAATCGTTATTCTACGAACAGTTCTATGCTTTATCTTTTTACAGTTTTTTTTTTTTTTTTATTATTATTATTTTTTTTTTTTTTATATTTTTTGTTAACGTCAGGAAGTTATACTTATCTTTTTTTTTGTTTTTGTTGTTGTTAAATCTTATCGCGAGCTTAGAAAATAATTTTAGTGATATGTAATTCACTTATCTTTTAATCTACGACTTAAACGAGGATTTTATTATTTTATTTATGATTTTATGAATAATTTATAAATATTACATTTCATATTAAATATTTATATTTATATATATTATTTTATTTTTTTAATTTTCATTGGAAATTATTGGTTCAACTCGAGAAACTCCTACAGCGAAAAAATAGTTTACGATTATTATCTATTATCTTTCTAATTCATTTTTTTATTCAATGATTTTACGAATACGAAAAATTAATTACTTTTATTACTTCATTATTATTGTTACGTTAAAAATATAGTTTTWTCTAATCTCATTTAAGAAAAATAAATAAATAAAATAAATCAAATTAAAAATCATTAATCGTTTCTTTTATCTAATCTTGATTTATATATATATATATATTTACTTTAATCTCAGATTTTTTTGATTTATCGATTAGATCAAACAAACGTTTAAGTATTTAATATTCGTTTAAAGATACCGCGCACGATTTCTAATTAATAATTGTAATTTAATTAAATCGTAAATCCTCGTGAAAAATCATCTTGGACGATACAATTCCTTTAAAAATGAATTTCGATGATTAAATCGTTGATATTGGATATACATAACTCTTCATATGTAGTTTAATCTCCGATTCACCACAATTGTATGGTGGTTTGTCCATCCAACCACCAATTGTCGGATTTCCCACACAATAAAGCGAAATTTGTTGAGATCGTGTTGAACCCACAAACGGTGAACTTAATCGATTGTATTGCTCCCTCGAGAAACACACATGTTCCACATTCATCCCCAAATTCATCTCAAAATGTCATTCTACAAACTTGATTTGAAAGAAAAGAAAAATCGTTTAATACGAAGCTTGAATTACATTTTATTTTGTTAAATTAATTATAATTTTTAATCATAATTTTTTCATCATAATTTTTTCATCACTTTCAGCAATTCATTCAATTCATTCGACATATTTTTCTTAAGATTATATATATATATATATATATATATA